TGCTTTACGTTGTTTTTCTGTTTGACATTGCTCAGCTGTTTGATTTTTTCTTGATTCTCGTTTGCGTTCTCTATCTCTTTTGCGTCGTTCCTCAGTAGAGCTGGCTGAATGCAGACATTCTGAATGGAATACAGCTTGTGGACGTTGTCTAGTCGTTGGTGGTAAATAAAACTCTGGAATTCTGATAGACGTTGGTTGATTATTTTCGATTGGATGTTTTTGTGGCGCCTAAAAGGCGGCAAAGAAGAATAAGCAGGATACACAGGTAAACAGACTTACTTTTCTTGCAGATTCCGTGGCATAGCTTGATGCGCATAAGGAATTTGATGGAATGGTTGTTATTTGCGGCTGTAAGCTGGAACGGGGAAGTAGTAACGGTACAAAATGATTTGATGACCAATTTCCTTTGTTAGACGCTCTTGCTTGTGCTTCTTTTAATGTATGTGTCCACAAGATAGTTATTTTATTAGTTGTACCAGTTGCTGTTCTTAATGGACTATATGTAGCATTGGCTTTGTTTAAATGATCTGTATAATCTATGTTTGGATAAACAACTTGAATATCACATTGAAGAACACTGCAAAGTCCCACAATATCATACATTTCAGAATACTCATCGTTTTTGACCATTTCTTTGATACGTTCATGCAATCCACCAAATAGCGGTGAGTATTTTTGTTCATAGTCATTGTAATTTTTGACTAGTTCTACGATTGTTCTCACTCGTAGTTCAATATGTGTGACTTCTGATGTTGGTAACAGCTTTAAAATTGAATAATATAAACAATTTCCATCTCCACGAATGTCAACTGGAATTAAGTTGTTGACACTGGGGTTATTACACTGAGATAAATATGTTAAAGAAATTGAATCAACTTTCTGATTAATGGGATCAAAATATTGTAGTGGGACAAACTTCAACGGTGTCATTAGTTCGTCTAGTTCCAATATTTGGGCACAAGTGCTGGGCATATCATTGTGGTAATCAATTCCATGTGCTGAAAATTGTAATGCTTCTAATAATTTAACAAATTTTACATCAG